CTATTCTTATTGTTTGAATTATGGGAAGCTATAAAAGTGTTAAAGTCTCAAATGTTCATGGATTTCAGCAATATTGAACACATTTTCCTAGTGGTGTTAATATTTGTGCAGGGATGAGACCAAACAATAACAGATCTGAAGACTTTAGCAATGAAAGATGAAGAATTTTACCTGTTTGACCTCAAATGTGACCAAACAAACTAGTTACTGATGCTGAATTTGACTCTTAGCTTTTTTTCACCAATGTGTTATGATATATTCAGCCCAGCTCTCTGTCTGTTCCTGCTGCTGATGATGATGATCCTGCAGGGCCATTAGCCATTCAGGACGCAGAACATATGGGGTGTGAGGCACCTCAGGGGGGAATCGGGTGCACTAAATGGACCGAAGACCAGAGATATTTGTGTTGGGGTTTATCGATTCCCTTCGGCATAAATTATGCGATGGCGATGATGAGGAAGATGAGCCAGTTTACCCAACAATGGGGTCGTTTTTTATCCAGATAGAAAGAAGTCGTGTCCGTCCAGCAGCTGAAGATTTTCAGTACTTTCTGGTTTCGCTCACACTTTGGCTTCCTTCTCTGGCTCATCCAATCTAAGTTTGTTTTCAGACACTAGGAAAGACTTTCTTAGTTTGATTTTTAAAGTGCCATTGGAAATGTCATCAGTTTTATTCTCAAACAATCAAAGCCAAAGGCAGAAGACTTCAAGATTCCAACAAGTTTGATTTGTTTTTTGAGATGTTGGATATAAAGAAATGTTTTCTGACTCATTTACATGATATTTAGATTTCCTAATTGCCCTTTCTGACCCATTTGAAAGAAGGTTTGCTTGGTTGTTTTAAATATTTGACCAATGCTGTAGAATCTGTTGTTTTTGACACAGTTCCTTTATTATTTATTTTACATGTTTGTTTTACTCCTAACTGCACTGACTGAACAAACTAAAGGTGTTTTACATGTTTGACCAAGTTTGTGAAGATGTATTTCAGTGTCCTGTACTGCTGCAGTTTTTCTAATTAATTTCTAAAGATTAGAAAAAATACACATTTTCAGTCAATTTTCTTTATTGTAATGGTTTCAGCCGATACTAAAACTCAGATATTGTATCGAAGTGAAAAAAGTGGATTGGTGCATACTTCTAACTCCAGCTGAAAACTTTCAGATAGAAAACAGAAAAGAGAAATCCATATTTTCTCTTGATCATAGACCTGAACCTGCTGCTGTTTAAAAATATCACATCCTATATGATCCCAAGTGGGAAGATGATGCCAAGGTATGGAGCATATATTCCCCAGGACCCGGAGACAGCATCATTTCCTTTGTTCAGGTGTGCATATCTGTGTTTTCCTTTAAGCTGGCCTCCTACGCCGTATATAATAGCTTTTCAGCTCTATTAAAAGGATGCGTCCGCCTCCTTCACATATTGTCACAAGCTAAAGACATAAATCCAGAGCAGAAACACTTAAATGTGCATTACTGTTAACTGAATAATATCAACACTAATATATGGCTGCAGAAGTTTACTTCCTGCAGTCTATTGTGGAAAAAAGCCAAACTGTTTTGAAAGCCGTATCAGTTCTCAGAAGACTAGCTCCAGAAATAGTGACTTTCTTGTGAAATAGAACTAAATTGGGATTGATTGTCTCAGGGAATCACCTTGTTGGAGCTACAATTTCTGTCTCTTACTTGTGTTTTTGTAACAGATTGCTAGTAAAAAAGAGCCTTAAAGAGTGTTGCTGCATTGACTGGTATTGTGCTGATACAACATATAATTACCCTTTTGTATTTAGAAGTTTTTCTGCCTGAACATGCAGTTATTGTCACGGAAAAAAGAAAATACCTCATTTCAAAAGTAACTATTTGTTTCAGTTGAGTCAGATTTAGACATCCACCCATGATAAGCCCAAATTTTGTATCAATATTCTCTTTATGTATATATTCTCATGGCTTTTGCCTGTGAGATAAATATCAATCAATCATACATTATCGTAATCATATATGTTTTTACAAAAGCAAGTAATGGATGCAGAATTTGGATTTTGTTGTGTACATTTTCTCCAATCTATTAATTTTTAATTTTACCTACTGCCCAAAATTTATTTGGGTGAATTTAATGTACAGTTGCTTCCCGCTGGGGTTCACTGGGGTTGCTAGGCAACGGGCGGAACTCTGGTGGGGTTGCTAGGCAACGGGCGGAACTCTGGTGGGGTTGCTAGGCAACGGGCGGAACTCTGGTGGGGTTGCTAGGTAACGGGCGGAACTCTGGTGGGGTTGCTAGGTAACGGGCGGAACTCTGGTGGGGTTGCTAGGTAACGGGCGGAACTCTGGTGGTTGCTAGGTAACGGGCAATCCCTGCTGATTTGAATCGGCTAATTTTCCAGACAACAAAATACATTAACTTGTTGCCAACAAAACTGTGTTTTTTTAAGTACTTGGTCCATTTTTAGAATCAGTAGAAACCCAAATAGAAGCACAAAACATCCGAAATGTAAATTTTGAGTAATAGGTTCAGTTTAAAATAATTTCCATGCAGCAGAGGATTCTGGTTCACTTTGTTGTCGACATCTTTGGAAAAATATAAGTGAGATCTCAGACTCCACAGTTTTTGTGAAAACAGTTGGTCTCGAGTGGCAGTGTGTGCTGGAACGTTTGGTGCTCTGAGTTGACCCACTTATTCTGATCTGGACGTGTGTGTGTGTACACGTGTGTGTGTGCGTGTACACGTGTGTGTTGTGTGCGTGTACACGTGTGTGTGTGTGTGTGTATGTGTGTGTGTACGTACGCATGTGTGTGTGATACGGTAGACGGATTCACTGGTTCTTCTCACGTTAACAGATTTTTGTCTCTCTAACCTCCATAGCAGTGAAACATTGTGAGAAATGGCAGTTGTGAGTTTGTTCTGTTTGTGGTAAAGCTTGTTGGAGTGCGAGTGAATAAAAGCATCTTGTGTTACTCTATTGTGTAAAAGATGATCATTTATATCCATGAGATTCATTCTCACATTCTCTGTTTGTATTTTTTTGCATCCATCGTACCACTGTCCTATTTTTATGTTGCTCCATTCACCTTAATTTGCCAAGTATTGGATTCATTATAATATTTGTGATTCTTCCAGAAATTTTACATTTTCTCTGCAGGTAAAATGCCACAGATATTTCAGAAAATGTTTTATTCGAACCACAGGATGTGGAAAATGATTTGGTTCAAATGAAAAAGGGTTATTACATTACACCTGAGGTGTAATTTGTCCTAAAATGCAGCTTAACATACGTAAGTTACTTATTTCTCAGTCAGCCAAACTGCTTAGCTGTTTGTCATGAAAAAGTAGCATAATCATAAAATCCCATTTTTGCATTGCATATATGCAATTTGGGGAGCCATTTAATTTTATTTTTACGACCGGACACAATTTCAAACCCAGAACAAAGTATTACTTTTGCTTTATTTCTAAGTTCTGTCTCTGTTATTATTATTATTATTATTATTATTATTATTATTTTTATTATTATTATTATTATGTTAAACACCCTTCAGAGGACAAAAATATAAACATGCACCTTTAGTTACCATTAATCTGCACAGTCACACCTGCTTTATTTATTATGCAAGTTTTTCCCCTCCAGTCGCTTCTAATTCTTAGTGAAGCTGATGGCAGTTAGCCAAATGGAGCTGGTCGACCCATAAAAGCTCCATCCTCCCGTAAAGCACCGACTAAAACACACTTAACCATAAGCTGACAAAGAAAGTGTGGTTTACGCCTGGTTTTGCAACCCTCAGGGTGTGGATGCATTAGGTTTGATATACCATTTTGGTGATTTAAAGAGCTTTAAGAGCTCGGCTCTTTTTGCTGCATCAAGCATCTGGTTTATACTGTACGAAACTTACCAGCCATTTTCCAGCTCACAGTACTCCGTAATTAATAGTTTGTGGGGCATTATTTTTCCATGGAGGATGCACTTAATGTCCTGCAGAAATCAATGATTCTCTGTCTGTGAAGCATAAAGTATCCGGTGCATGTAAGCAAGCATGATTATAAAGTAGGACTCCATATTGAAGTTGAGTTACTTGAAAAGTTCAATTAACTGGATGCTTTCGACCCAAAGGGTGATACCTTGAAGGCGCCAAGGAAAAATAAATGCAGGAAAAACACAAAAAAGTTACAACATCCCTTCATTTGGCTAAGAGAAAAGCAGGACATTTTAGTATTTCTTTATGACTTGGTGTTAATTTTTCATGCTGATAATTCACTAAAAGCTAGAAACCTAAAGACTAGTGACAAACAGGTGATTCACTTCCAAATCCCCAAAAATGACTATTGAGGGTTGGCCGGTTATTGTTGCCTCCGTTCACCAAAGTATGTCTGAAACTGGAGGCTTTTAGCCCATAAATCTGATCCATGTTTTAACTAAACATATATTTGAATTTAGGTATAGTTAGGCTGTTTCAAAAGCCTCAATCATCATTTTGTAGATAGTTTGCTATTAGAATTTGACTAAAGATGAAAAACAAAAAAAATTGTTGCTTAGCTTGTCTATTCATGATTTAGCAGTAAAAATTTTGACTAAAAGGCAATTATTTTGTTTAATTAATTACCGACAATTAGGATTAACTCAATGAAAATTTTTTATCCAAGTCCCACCTCTAGCATAAAACAAATAGAACTGGTCCCAAGACCCTGCCTTGGGGAACACCCAGACACAATGTTAACTGAAAAATGTAAAAAATATATATATATTTTTAAAGCATACAGAGAAAACAGAA